TCTAGAGGCTTGAAGAAAAATCAAAATGTCAGATGTTTTAATTGTGCTAAACAAGGTCACCTAAATAGGTCTTGTAGACAGGGCATTCCTAGTATTAATAGATTTCCAGAACCTCTTAATATAGTGACTGACTCTCAATATGCAGAAAGAGTTGCTTTAAATATTGAAATTGCTAAATTCATTCCAGATGATTCAGAATTGACTTTTTTATTTATTCAGTTACAAGAACTAACCAGAAATAGAAATTGTCCCTTAGGTATAATACATATATCCCATACTTGGCAACAAGTCATGGGCATTATAGCAAAATGTGATGTAGCATGAATCTGAAAGAGTCTTATTAATAAAATCAAACCTGAGGCCAGTTATTGGAGTGAACACCAGAAGATCAGAGAGACAGAGCAAGCCACAGCTAACCTCAACTGGCCAACTTCTCAGCTGATCTTGTTTCCTCAGACTGGAAGCTTCTGTGTCCTCATATCCGAATGGCTCTCAGCTGAACTGTGCTGCTCAAAAGCCTGAATGCTTAACCAGCCAAATGCTTCTAGTTTCTGGTCCTCATGCCTTATATACCTTTCTGCTTTCTACCACCACTCTCTGGGATTAAAAGCTCGATTTCTGGGATTAAAGGCATGAGTCACCATGCTTGGCTGTATCCTTGAACACATGGATTTCTGCCTCTGGAATGCTAGGATTAAAGCCTTGTGCTACCATTGCCTATCTTCTATATTTAATATTGTGGCTGCTCTGTCTCTGACCCCAGATAAGTTTATTATGGTGCACAATATTTTGGGGAACACAATACCACCACATTGTCCTACTATTTTTATTATTACCAAACTCTACTATCTGCAAGAACTAACCAAAAGGGTACTCAAAGAAATGAAATTTGGCAAATGGATGTATTTCATTTTGGAGAGTTTGGGAAATTAAAATATGTACACCATACCAAGATACATATTCAGGATTTTAAAGGAAAACTCCTTTGAGTTTGAAAAGGCTGATTCTGTAATCACACATTTGTTAGAAGTTATGACCATCATGGCGATAACTGTAAAAATTAAGACTGACAGTGCTCCAACATATGTCTTTAGTAAAATGAAACAGTTTTTTTTCATAATACAAAATAAAGCATATTTCAGGTATTCCACCCAATCCTACAGGGCAAGGAATTATAGAAGGATCTAACTGAACTCTAAAAGATATGCTTAATAAAAAGAAATTAGTAATAAAGACTGGCAGAAATAGATTGCACAATGCTTTATTAATTGTAATTTTCTAAATGTTAATGAGAATAGAATGACAGCTGTGGACAGACATTGGATAATAGAAAAAAAAACTGCTGAATTAAACCATCCTGTATACTTTAAAGATGTATTAACCTCAGATTGGAAACCAGGATATGTGTTATGTTGGGGAAGAGGTTTTGCTTTTGTTTCCACAGGAGAATAAAAACTATGAATACCATCAAAATTGATAAAGATTATATTTGAACAAGACAAAACTCTAAAACTCTAAATTCTCTAAACTCAAGCATGCTTGTTAAAAGGAAAACCCCAAATCTCTGTCTCATGTCAGAAGAGCCACTTGATATTAGATAGAAGAAAAACTAAACTTAAGGGACTAGTTTATTGCCACTAATCTCATAATTCTTTGGTTTTATTTTAAATATTTTCTTAAGGTATATATATATATTACCTTAATATTTACACAATTATATATGTTTCAACTTTTGTCACGATATTAATGGTCATATAGAGTACTAACTAATTCTAGAAATAGGATTCATCTAGCTCCCTGTACATGATTTCAGGATTGAGTCTCTATCAGTTAACTAGGAAGTAAGTTTTTGTATTCTGGATGTACATAAGAAATTATGGTCCTTTAACTTTTTTTTAAAAAATTTTCATTTTTTCTTTTTTTAAAAAATTTCACATTTTCATTTGTGGGGCCCTATATTCCTTTTGGAGACTTCAAAAGTTACTGTTAGGCATGGTCGTGGTTCACTGAAGAAAACTTAAACATGACATTTCCATCTGCATTGTGGTAACATCACTGAGCTGATAAACACCACCCAAAGATCAACTTTGGACTACAAACTGCTTAGGACAATTTCAAGGTGGTGAATGAGATGGTCCAGCCTCACAGACTACTCTAGCCAGGAGTTGAGACAAGCCCTGCACTTTCCCATTTTACAGAGACTGGACAACAAATGATACAGCTCGCTCTCCCAGGACTTGACAATTATCCGAATTTTTAAGGGTCCCCTAAAGATGCCATGATCCCCAGAAAATAGGAAGCAATTTTAAGAACAAAACACCCACATTCCCAAAAGGTGTGGTGTATGGTTTTTGGTCATTCATTGGATTATGGATATTTGTCATTATTTAGGGGGTTTGGTTACAAGTTGTTATTGGTGATGGTCAGGAAAAAGGCTGAACAAAGGAGATTAAATTCGGGGATCTTGTTCTGAAAAGAAACAGGGGGATATAGAAATGATAGGATAAAATGTAGATTATTGAGTCTACTTTTAAACCATAAAAACAACTAATAGCCTTAAATATTTTACATTTTTTATATTGATACAAATTTAAGGTTATTTTTGTTATAATATACTGTACATACCTTTCTATTCTTCAAAGTATTGTACCTATACAGTTCATTAAACAATGAAATGTAAATATCTAGTCCTTTAAAGTCATTATTACAAACTATTTAGAATAATAAAGAAATACAGGTTAGTAATTAGCCACCTATTACAATCAAACTTGTAGTCATGTTAAGAATGTTTTGAAGTCAAACAGAGATATATTTTAGATAGACAGGTGGTCTTCAAACACTTCAGAGATACTGAGTATGGCATTTAAGATGTTTTAGTAACATAAGGTTTTTTTTGTTAGTGACAATGAAACATGTCTGCTCCTGGCAGGACCAACCTACTTCAGAGAAGATGATGGACATCAAAGAAACCCCATATGGAGTTTACTTTCTTTATGACAAAGCGTAGCCACTAGGCCTGAAACTGTCTTTGCCTCAACTGCTGACAGTATGCTGTCCAAATTGGACAAGAAGGACATAAAAGAAAGTGACTGCCAAACTTTGCAAAGACAAGGTAGGAGAGCCCTTTAAAAGTCCTGTTTCACAGAAAAGTCTGTCAGATATTCTAGGCCTGTAGGCTGAAGATGGATGTCCCAAGGTTACAGAGGAACCTTGGGGGACTGTTTCTGTCACTTCTTAGTTATTTACTCTACACTTCCTGTTTACTCAGGTAATATTTCCTTCTCAGGTCTCTGATGGAGTGGAAGACTGGGTAGTTATAGTTTTCCTTGTTAACAAATTTACCTCACAAAAGAGATGTAAAGTGCATAAGTTTGAGAGACATAAAAAGTAGTTTGGGGTTGGTAATGCAAGTTAGGGTAGAAAATGAATTAGGTAGAACACTTTGAACTTACCAAGATAGGATGGGTAATGGAATATTTTCTCTCAATTAGGCAAAAGCAAATGGATTGGACATTGTTAATGTAATTCTTGCCTGTATATATTTGTATATAGTTATTGTACTTATTGTATATAGTTTTACTAAGTTAGTTAAAAAAAACCTTTCCTTTTTGTTTAGACAAAAAGGAAATGTCGTGTGATATTTTGACTGTGTTCTAACAAATCAAACTTGCTTGGAGTCAGAGGGCAGAGCTAGCCACTAGCTAACCATAGAAGTTTGGAGGACTCTAGACAGAATGGAGACAGGAAGTGGCAAGGCATGACTGAGAGAGGATCTCAGCCTTTTGGAAGGAAGAATGGAAGAGGTAGGAAGCAGCTGGTGGCTGTTCCCTGTTCACTGATGTTCTGGTTCTTACCCCAATATGTGACTCCTGTTTTTTATTGAAAAAGATTAATCAGATTACCGCATCAGACCTCATCCATATTTTAGTATCTACCTGATAAGGCTGTTGTGATGTCCAATGGGACCAAGTAAATGACTGTCCTTGTTACTTCTGCCCCTTTCAAAGATGCCCAAGAATAAGCAGAATTCAGAGGTTCCCATAGGGTAAACCTACCACTGCAGGTGATCTCATTCCCAGAACATGAGTATGAGTAGGAGCTGGTGTAGGGTCTCCTTGTGGGCAATGCACAGTTTTCCAGGTTTTTGACCTGAGCGAGGCAGTTGTCACGATTCCTACAGCACCTGGAGAGAGGGAGGAACAACTGAGGAAAGAGTATGGACTGTCAAGAGATCAGTTCTCACCTGCAGTTTTTCTGAAACATGTGAGGATGATTTAACATGATGTTCCAGAAGAAATGGTCCTGAGGCTCGAGAATCTGTGATTTCCATTAAGCATATATTTATTGAAAGCAACTTCTGTGAAGTGTATGGTTCTACCATTTCCCAGTACTTACGGGGCAGAGGCAGATGGATCTCTGAGTTTGAGATCAGCCAGGATATATAAGTGAGACCCTGTCTCCAAAAAAGCGATTTTTGAACAAAGCTGCAGGAGCACAATGAAATTATACATTCTGAACTTTTGATGACTTTTTATAGCCAAGGCTGACACTTTGATGGGAGCTGTGATGGCTGGCCGTGCCCTAGTCTGGCGACTGAGGGCAGCACTACTACAACACCTCACACATTCTGCTTTCAGGGACCAGTAGATACAGTGTCCTCTTGAACTGATTTCTTTGCATGACAAAAGGGGAAAATACATGCTGTGGGTGGTGATGCACACCTTCAATCTCAGCACTCAGGAGGCAAAGGCTGGAAGATCTCTGAGTTCAAGGTTGGTGTGGTCTCTAGAGAGAGTTCAAGGACAACTAGGGCTACACAAAAAATCTCTTTGTGTAAGAGGAAAGAAAGAAAGAAAAATAAATAATAATAAAGAACACAACATATATGATGTTTGGTGAATATGCATGTCTCCTATTCAGGCCTCATGAGATGCTCTGCTTGTGTCCTGTCCCCACAACCACAGCAGACACTCCAGTGTCCCACCAAGTGGATCACCCACCTGTCTAAGTCTTCATCTGGATCGCCGAATCTCAACAAGCCACAGTAGCAGCCATAGTAACTGTAGTCTGAAAAGGGTTCAATCAGAGTAGTGGTGCACTTGAACGCATTGTTGAACTGCCACACAGCCTGAGGGCTGATGCTGTGTGCATTAGGGCCTGCTGCAAGAAAGCACAGCACACTCCATCAGTCCCACTTGTCCTTACCAGGGATCTGATGCCTGCCTGCTAGCTTCCTCCTTGATTCCTACTAGCTGCTGCATTGGAAGACCAGGGAATAGAGGTGTGTGTGTGTGTGTGTGTGTGTGTGTGTGTGTGTGTGTGTGTGTGTGTGTGTGTCTGTGTGTCTGTGTGTGTGCATGCTTGCCCTAACACAGGTATAAGCAAGCACCTGGGACCACTAATAAATGTCATGCTACACACGAGGAGGTTAGAGCACAGCTTTAAGGAGTTGGTTTTCTCCCTCCACTATATAGGTCTTGGAGACCAAACTCAGGTCACCAGGCCTTAGAGAAAGGTGTCTACTTGTTTGAGACAGAGAGTTGCCTGGTAACCCAGTCTAGCCTCTGACTCTGTGGCAACCTTCTGGTCTCAAACCTCCCCAGCGATAGGATTATAAATGTACTCCACTGTATCAGGCTGGGCTGACTCCTCAGAATTAAGTTCAGAGACATTGCCTTTTTCCTTGCTTGCCTGTTCATTTCTCACTGTCAGGACAGACAGCCGCCACACTGTGAACTGCCCTGTGGTCCCTGTGTTGAGGAGCTGAGAACACTCTCCTGTCAACAGCCAGGGACAAACTGACCTCTTAGTTCAATAACCCAACAATCCAAGCATCTCTTGAGTTTGAAAGCTGCTAAACCCCTACTCCAAGCCTAGGTGAAACCCTAGCCTTAGCCAGCAGTGTGATTCATCACAGTTCTAGCTGAGACCTTAAGCCAGAGAAGCAGCTGACACATGCTCATTGTTTTACACTGGAAGAATTAGAAGGAATCTGTTGTATGGCCATGCACAGCTCATAAACAAGGATAATGGTCAGATCATTATTGTAATGTCAGCATTTGACACAAACAAACTGTTCATCCCGCTGAGGAGTAGGAAAATAAGCCTTGATTAAGTCTGCAGTAGGATACAGGTCACCATTAAAATTCAAAAGAAGCCAGATACAGTGGAACACACACTGTGTAATTCCAGCATTCTGGAGGCAGAGGCAAGAGGATCAGAAGTTCAATGTTGCCAGGGGATAATGTTGCACATTTTAATCTCAGCACTTAGGGAGGCAGAGGCAGGCAGATCTCAGTGAGTTCAAGGCCAGCCTGGTCTACAAAGGGAGTTCTAAGATAGCCAAGAATGTTACACAGAAAAAACCCTGTCTCAAACACCAAAAACAAAAAACAAAAAACAAAAAAACCCAGAAAACTGGGAATGTATCCAGATGGTGGTGGCGCACGCCTTTAATACCAGCCCTCAGGAAGCAGAGGCAGGCAGATCTCTGAGTTTCAAGTCAGACTGGTCTTCAGAGTGAGTTTCAGGACAGCCAGAGATACACATAGAAACCTTCTCTCAAAAAAAATGAAAAACAAAAAATAAAGAAAGCTGAAGCATGATTCTAATTAAAATTATCAATGAAAACTAAGAGCCAGATATTGGGGTAAAGCTGAAAAATCAAAGAAGCAGAGCAGCAGCCACCAGAGGAGTTCTTACCTCTCTCAATCCTGGGACCAAAAGGGGGGCTGAGATCCTGTCTCCACCTCCAGAGTGCTAGAATTAAAGGTGTGAGCCTCCGAAGTGCTAGGACCAGAGGCATGAGCCACCACTTGCCTGGCTTCTATGGTTAACTAGTGGCCGGCTCCACCCTCTGATCTCCAGGAAGGTTTTATTTGTCAGAACACAAACAAAATATCACACAACAGAAAACAAATGTCCAACAGGTATACCCACAGGCCAATATGATGCAGGCAATCCTCCAGCTGAGCCTCTCCCTACCCAGTGTGTGAAGTTGAGAATCAACCATTGCAGGGGCCGGAGAGGTGGCTCAAAACTTAAGAGAGGTTTCTGCTCTTGCTGTGGCCCGAACTTCAATTCTCAGAACCATATGGTGGCTGGGGAACAATGTCTGCTGGTCCGATGCCCTCTGGCCTCTGTGTCTGTTCATCTCTCATGTACCCTCTAACATAGTATCCCAGCACCTTCTTTTCCCCACTTCTCACCTCTTCCCGGGATATATAACCATGTAGCATTGAGTTGAGTTGGTTGTCTCCATACTCAAGCTCCCCCTACCCTTCCAGCAGGACTCTGGACGGCCACTACCACCTATTACCAGTCACTGCGCCTGCGCAGGTGGCTGTAGCTGCACCTGTTGCTCACAGGTCTGACCTTGAGAGGGGCGAGGCCTGAGTTTGGAACACAGGTAGGGACAGGACTGGGGTGAAAAAGCGGAGAACCGGGCAGCTGCTCACAAAAGAAAAAAGAGAGCCTGAGATCAATGTAACCTTTAACCAATGAGACATCTGATTCCTAAATCTGGTGGACCAGGAAACCAGGGATTAACCTGGTTTTACATACAGGGTTCTGTGACAAAGAAATGTACAGGAGAGGATGTGTTCTGTTTTCTTTGTTCAAAAAGTTAAGCTTCTGTGTACTTTAGCCTGTGGCGTGTGTTTAGGCACAGTGAAGACTGGAATGTCACCAGAATGCAATCCTGCATTCAGGTCATTTACCCTCAGTCCAATTGGAATCCTGTATCCAACAAGTTATGATGAGCGCACAGCAGAAGTGCTTTGAGTCCAATATTTTTAGGGCCAAGATGTTCCTTTAGTGCTCATGTGACTCTGCTTCTTTCTCTCTTCTCTCTCCTCCTACCTCTCTGTCTTCTCTTTCCATCTCTCCCCACCTCTCCCCTCTGTTGTTGGTTTGGGTTTTTTTTTTTTAAATATACTTTTACTCTTTTGGCACTTTACTCTTTTGGAAACCCACCACTCAGCTCCCAAATAAATAAAACACACGAAGGCTTACTATTACTTATCAATGCCTGGCCTTAGCTTGGCTTATTTCTAGCCAGCTTTCCTTAATTTAAATTACCCAGGCTACCTTTTGCCTCTGGACTTTTTCCTTTCCTACTTCTGTATATCTTACTTTCACACTTACTCTGTAGCTGACATGTGGCTGGGTGGCTGGGTGGCTGGGTGGCTGGGTGGCTGGGTGGCTGGGTGGCTGGGTGGCTGGCCCCCGGCATCCTCCTCTCCTTGTCCTCTTGCTCCTTCCCTCTGCATACAGGAGTTGTGTAGCTGGGTCTGTTTGAGGGGCCCTTGGCAGTGGGATTAGGATCTACCCCTGGTGCATGAGCTGGCTTTTTGGAGCCCGTTAACTATGATGGGACAACTTGCACAGCCTTGATGCAGGGGGCGGTGCCTTGACCCTTCCTCAACTGAGTGTACCAGGTTTTGCTGACCCACCATGGGAGGCCTTACACTTTTGGAGGAGGGGAAAGGAGTGAGTGAGGGGAGGAGGCTGTGGGGGGAGCAGGAAGAGCGTTGAGACAGGGGATCTGTGGTTGGTATTTAAAATGAATAAAAAAATTGTAATAAAAAGGAAAAGAAAAAGTTTAAATAAAAAAGCATAAGAAAAGAATGCAACACATTTCTGCATCATTAAAACAAATGTTCAACAGCGTAAACAATTGTAACACATCTTCAAATAATATTCCACAACACCCTCCCCTCCTTTCCTGTACCTTTCCCTGTCTTGTCTCTCCCTCTCCTTCCCTTTTCTGTCCCCTATAACCCCTCATTATCTCATACTGGCTTCTTCTCATATTTTTTGTTTTTTATTTTTATTTTTTGAGACAGGGTTTCTTTGTGTAAATCTCCTGCTCAGCATATGAGAGCACATTCTGCTCTTGCTGAGGACCGTGAGTCCAGTCCTCAACAATCACCACATGGTGGCTGGGGAACGATGTCTGCTGGCCCAGTGCCCTCTGGCCTCTGGCTTGGGCCATCTCTCATGTCCCCTCTAACTTTTCACCCCAGCACCTCCTTTTCCCCACTTCTCACCTCGTCCCTGGATAAACACCATGTCAGGGGTGAGGTGAGTTTGTCTCCATGCAAAAGACCCCCCTACCCTTCCAGCAGGACTCTGGAACAGCCACTACCAAATACTACCAGTCACTGAGCCTTCGCAGGGCTCGGGCCACACCTGTTGCTCACCAGGCCTGACCTTGGGAGGGTCAAGGCCTGAGTTTTGGGACTCCAGAGGGGATGGGGTTGGGGTTAGAAAGACGGAGGACTGGGCAACTGGTCACTAAAGAAAAGAGTGGACTGACAACCACGCAGCCTTCAACCAGCCAATGAGACAGGTTAGTCCTGAACCTGGTTCACTAGGGAACCAGAGATTAACCTACCTTTACTTTCGGGGGCCCCATGATAGAGAGAGGTAGAGAAGAGGATGTGTTCTGATTTCTTTGTTCAAAAACGTTAGGCTGCTGTACACTTTAATGGGACAATTATCCTATGGCGTGTGTTTGGGCACAGTAAAGCATGGAAGTCCACCAGGATGTAATCCTACCTTCAGGTCATTTACGGTCAGTCCAGGTGGTTTCCTATATCCAACTTCTTTTTCTCCCCTCCCCCCAAGATTCATTTATTTATTTATTATGTGTTCTGGATGTATGCCTGCAGGCCAGAAGAGGGCACCAGATCTCTTATAGATGGTTTGTGAGTCACCATGTGGTTGCTGGGAATTGAACTCAGGACCTCTGGAAGAGCTGCTAGCGCTCTTAACCTCTGAGCCATCTTTCCAGCCCCTGTATCCTATTTCTTATGATGAGTGCACAGCACAAGTGTTTAAGTCCAGTTCTTTTTTGAGGGGGGAGGGTTGAGACAGGGTTTTCTGTAGCTCTGGAGTCTGTCCTAGAACTGGCTCTATAGACCTGGCTGGACTCCAACTTGCAAAGATCTGCCTATATCCACATCTCCAGTGCAGGGAATAAAGGCTGCACGGACACCACCTAGCAGATGTTCCTTTAGTGCCCATGTGACACTGAATCTCTCTGTCTTAGCTCCCTTTCTAACTCTCTCTTTCCTTCCCTTCCCATCCTTACCCTTCTTTCCTTTCCATTTTCCTTCCGCATCTCTCCACTCATCTTCCTCTTTCTGTTCCGCCTACCCACCTATGTATCTCAGGCTGGTTTCTTTATTTTGATTTTGAATTTTTTTTGTTAGTTTTTTGAGACAGGGTTTCTTTAACTGTCCTGGATGTCCTGGAATTTGCTTTTAGACCAGGTTTGACAAGAACTCAAGAGACCTGCCTGCCTCTGCCTCTGCTTCTGCATCCCAGAATGCTGGGATGAAAGGCATGCCTGCAATCATCACCCACTCTTCAAGGTGCTTGCTTTACAGAAGAGTCTTTCCCATTAACCTTCAGTTTCCAGGAATAGACAGGATGATGTCCTCTGAGGATCTACTTATGTTTGGTAGACAAAAGACAATCACCAAAGCTGAGTTCTTTCTATATGTGCTTTATTAGAGGGGCAGTGAGTAGCGACCACAACCAGGCAGGCAGGGATGGTGTAGGCAGTAACTGAGGTGGTTAGTCTAACATTTAATGCCTTTGTTCTCCTTGTTGTATGGGGCCTGGGAGAAGCAGATGGCGGCTTCGCGGTCACAGTTGCAGATGAAGTCCTCACAGGGGTCGTTTTTGTCTGCAGAGAAACAAGAAAGGAAGTTGAGTGGAGCCCATTACCCCATTCCCTATGATCTATAGCCAAAAGGAACCGGTGCCTTTCCCCCACCCACCTACTGATGCAGCTGAGAGACATGGGCTGAGAGACAGAGCACACAGAAGTCCATTGGGTTGCCCAAATTGCTGGAACACACTTATAATATCATTAGTTGTTGTGGGCTGGGGAGATGGCACAGTTGGGAAAGGGGTTGACATACAATCATGAGGGCCTGACCTAGGATGCCCAGAAACATGTTAAAAAGCAAGATGTGATGGGGCATCTGTAACTCTCTTGGAAGTAGGGAGCACAGATCCCCAAAACTTGTTGCTCATTCAGGCTAGCTAAAAGTGAGTGTCATATTTAGCGAGAGAGAGAGAGAGGAGAGAGAGAGAGAGAGAGAGAGAGAGAGAGAGAGACCCAGGCTCTAAAGACATGGTGGAGAGTGACTGACTGAAAAAGACACAGGATGCCGACTCATTCTGTATTTTATGTATAATATTTATTATGCATAAAAATAAACACATATATTTAATCCTAAAACCTATAAAACGACTATTATCAGCCAGACAGTGGTGACACACCTTTAATCTCAGCACTTGGGAGGCAGAGGAAAATGGATCTCTCTGAGTTTGAGGTCAGCCTAGTCTACAGAGCAAGCTCCAGGACAGGCTCCAAAGCTACACAGAGAAACTCTGTCTCAAAAAAATAAAGAAACTACAAATATTAATTACCACTTATAAATTTATGTAACTGAAAACAATCTTCCTGTCTACACCAAGTGCTAGATTGCAGGTATGCACCACCACACTCAATGTATGGGTTCTGGAGGTGGAAGAGGGCTCTGTGCATGCTAGGCAAGATATCTAACAACTGATCTATATTCCCAGCCCTCTGAATCCTCACCTGTAAAATAGGAATGATAAATCTTGCCCTGTATAGGTGTTTACTCCATATCTGACTTACACAATGACGCAGCTCTCCATTGTCTAGTCAGTATGGAATCAGTATAACACAGCAGCTAACAGGAGAGGCTTTGGGCAGGCAAGATGGCTCAGGGAATAAAGGCCCTTGCTGCCAAGTCTGAACCCGAGTTCCATCCCCAGGACTCACATGGTTGAAAGAACAGACCTCTGCAAGTTGTCCTGAGACCTGCATAACTGTGCAGTGGCACAGAAATGCCTCCCCAAGATATGCAAAATCTTGAAATTTTTTTAAAGATAGGCTTTAGAATGGTGTAGATCTGTGTTCCAGAAACAAATGTCATCATTTCTAAGCTGGGTGGCCATGGCCAAATGACCCTGACTACCTCATCTTCCTCATCAGTGACCTCATCTATATTTTAGTATCTACCTGATAAGGTTGTTGTGAGGTCAAATGAGACTAAGGAAATCACCACTAAATGGTGACGGTCCTCGTTACTTCCCTGTCCCTTCTAAACACAAGAGGGACAAGCAGGATCCAGGGGTCCCAGAGGGTAAACCTACCACTGCAGGTGATCTCATTCCCAGAACATGAGTATGAGTAGGAGCTGCTGTAGGGGTTGTCAATGAAGGATTTGCAGCTTTCCATCTTCATGGCCTGACCATAGCAATTGTCATGAGTCTGGCAGCACCTGGAGAGAGGAAGGAACAGCTGAGTGAGGACTATGGACCCACAGAAGGTCAGTTCTCACTTGCAGTCTTTCTCAAACATGTGAGGATGACTTAAACATGATGTTCCAGAAGAAATCATCCTGAGGCTTCAGAGTCTGTGATTTCTATTAAGCATATATTTATTGAAAGCAACTTCTGTGGAGTGTGGTGGTGTCTACCAATAATCCCAGTACTTGGTATGCAGAGGCAGATGGATCTCTGAGGTCAAGTCCAGCCTGGTCTCCAGAAGGAATTCCAGGAAACCTAGGGCTACACAGAGAACCCCTGTCTGGAAACTAACAAACAAAAATAATAAAGAAACTAAACAAGACATATTATGTCTGGTGAATTTCATGTCTCCTATTTGTGCCTCATGAGATGCTCTGCTTGTGTCCTGTCCCCACCAACCCAGACACTCCAGTCTCCCACCAGATGGATCACTCACCTGTCTAACTCATCCACCGGAGCACCTGAGCCCCCGTAGCCACAGTAGCAGCCATAGTCATTGAATTCCTCCAAGGGATGACTCTCAGGGATGGTGCACTTGATCACATCATAGAACTGCAGCAAAGACCGAGGGTTGATGCTGTGTGCAGTAGCGCCTGCTGCAAGAATGCACAGCACACTCCATCAATCCCACCTGGTTTACCAGATGTCTGATGCCTGCTGCTAGCTTCCTCCTGACTCCTACCAGCTGCTGCATCAGGAGAGCAGTGAATAGATATGTGTATGTGTGTATGTACAATGTGTGCAAAAGTGTGCAGGTGTGTGCTTTCCTTCAAACTAGTTCATAGGCATGCACTTGTTCACACTCATAACTATCACGCTACAGATGAGGGGACCAGAAGACAGCTTTAGAGAGATGGTTTTCTCTCTCTCTACGTAGGTATTGTAGAGGAAACTGAAGTCACCAGGCCTGTGCAGGAAGCTGTCTACCTATTTGAGATAGAGAGTTGCCCTGTCATCCAGGCTAGCCTCAGCCTTCATAGGAACCCTCTGGCCTCAGCCTCCCGTGTAGTAGGATTATAAACGAACACCACTGTACCAGGCTGGGCTGACTCCCCAGGACTAAGTTCTATAGACATTGCCTTTTGCATTGCTTGCCTGCTCATTTCTGTCAGGACAGATAGCCACCACACTGTGAGCTGCCCTGTGGTCTCTGTGTTAAGGGTTGAGAACACTCTCCATCTACAGCCAGGGACGAACTGATCTCTTAGTTCAGTAACCCAACAATCCAACCATCTCTTGAGTTTGAAAGCTGCCAAACCCCTACTCAAACCTAGGTGAAACCCTAGCCTTAGCCAGCAGTGGGATTCATCATGGGTCTAGCTGAGACCTTGAGCCAGAGAAGAAGCCAACACATGCTCATTGTTTTACACTGGAAGAATTAGAAGGAATCTGTTGTGCGGCCATGCACAGCTCATAGACAAGATTAATGGTCAGATCATCATTGTGATGTCAGCATTTGATCAAAAAACTGATCATCAGCTGAGAAGTTGGTAAATAATCCAGGATTCAGAATACAGTGGGATACTTGGTCACCATTAAAATGCAGGAGAAGCCAGGTAGAGTGGAACACACACATTATAATCCTAGCACTCTGGGGGCTGAGGCAGGTGAATAACTTAGTTCAAGGCACGATGGTCTATAGAGTGAATTCCAGACCATCCATTGCTATTCAAAGAAACACTTTTGTGTAAAATGCCCAGAAAAAAAAAAAAGAA